CCCCCCCCCCTTAGAAACTTTTGTCCCCAAAAGTTGGCGTCTCTTGTAAGAGTTTGAGACAGGCCCCTCTCACGTCTTCTTTACGTTCACGGGTTGCCTCTTCATTAAGCTGGTTACTCCCCACGGGACTTTTACTAAGGTGGTCGCTCTTTCATACCAACACTTCGCGTCTTGGTCTGACCCAACAGGGACTGGTACCCGTATAGGCGTACTACCTCTTTGACATATAACTTATCTCATCGATCAACTCGATAAGTGGTCTCACTTGGGATGAGGTGAGTTGTCTTGGTTGGTCTACCCCAACTATCCAAATCACGTTACGAGTCTGTTTAGTCTTTGGCAAACCCGAGACAAAACCCACACTCACTACTTCCCATTGAAGGATTGTAGCAATCTTGTTGGGTGCTATTTCGATGCCTTAACCTGCTAGTAGCATCGTCTTACGAAACCCGCCATGTCTCTCTTCATTCCCAAGCCACCCATAGTATCTCTTCAGATAACTTCGTACATCCTAGGTGGAACGTATCAGATGTATAGTGGCTTCAGCTAAAACGTCTTTAGGATTTCCTCGTCTCAGGGAACACCTAGGCAGTCTTGCCAATGCAGGACCCCGTCTGCGGAGATAGAACACCTAGTTGGCTTTTCCACCCTAGTCTGACTCCACACTTTGTTAAGGTGTTCATCGGATCTCTGGGCGTCAAAGACACGTTTTCATAAAGTGGGTTGCATGGTCATCTATGCTATCTTAGCGATATCACCATTAACTGCAACTCCAGTTTCTAGCATTCTTCCTTCCATCTTGTAACTTCCCTTGCTTGGTGATCATTGCAGATGTATGAACGGTCTATGTCATTCCATCTGTACGACCAAGTACTCGAGACTCTTTAGTCAGTGTATGCTTGCACTTTTCTCCATGCTCGTAATGTTGCCATGTCTCCATGGCAAGCACGGCTGCTGCTAGTTAAAGGTCATGAGTAGGGTAATTTTGTTCGTGCTCTTTCTGCTTTCTTGAAGTGTAAGCTAATGCCTTACCATTCTGCATAAGCACGCACCCTAAGCCCTTACATGAGGTGTCTCTATACGTTACAAGGTTGTCTAGTCCAACTTGAACCGATGCAGTCACCAACCTTTGCTTAAGTGCCTGAAAACTCTGGTCGTCTGCTGGTATTCGTGTAGGCGCTACAGAGATCCTGGAAATATCACGTACGAGTCTTTCGAAAGATTTCTAGAAACTTCATACCTTAGTGACTGTGGTTAGTTTTGGCCACCTCATAGCTACTTCAATCTTAGCGGTGTCTACGATGCACTCTCTCCGCTTGACACCACATAACTTCAGATGTCATCTCAGACAACCAACACCGGCACTTTGGAGATCTTAGCGCATGATCGATATGTTCATAACACCACCAAAACCTTCCTCAAGTGTTCATTGTTATATCGTCAAGGACGACTATAATGATGATAGCAAGAGAATCTCATGCACCTTCGATTTTCGTAAACTTACACTTTCTCATGACTCTGGAAGGGCTCGTCAGTCAACTCGCCTTCCTCATGACTCTAGAAGGGCTCGTCAGTCAACTTGCCTTCCTCATGACTCTGGAAGGCAGTCCTCAACATGTCCCTCTCTTTGATCCTCATAGGAGGTATCCTGACCTTGTTGGGACGCTTGCGGTCCTTACTGCTTCACCAAAAATGACCTCGTAATTGTATCTCATTTGGTTAACACAAGTCTTTCCTCATACGAGACGCTCCGTCACGTAGTTCACTTGAGTATTAATACTCATTTGGGCCATGTACGGGCTCTTTTGGAAGTAAGGGATCCTTGCATGAGTCCTTTGCATTCACCTAGGCTAACTCATGCAGTATCTTTATGACTGAGCTAGTCACGTCTCCTCTCGTAATGATTCCTCATCACTGGATTTTTTTCAAGCACGTGAACCTTTCAAGTTCTTGTACCGTATTCTAGGGAACTCTCTGAAGACTCTTGTTTGGTAGCTAGTCTCCCTCAAACTTTGAGGATGTTATATCAGTGTCCTCTCTAAGACGTATCATGTCTCTGCTAGTCTTACCTGGTTACAAGTCACCATCTCACTACCCTCTGGTGGTCTTTGGCATCCTGTTGTCTAAGAGTTCCACCTCTGTCTAAGCATGCTTCACGAGTATGGCATCACACTCATGTGTGTAGCTAGAATCCTGCTCTTTGTAATCCAGGTGACCTATACGAGGGTAGGTTCTTACTAACACATATCTAGATTTTCTCTCTCCAAACGGAGATAGCGTGACCTTAGCTTGACCTCTTTTCCTGCTGTTCTCGACCCCGAGGTTCACCGGACTACCTTGACGGTTCCACGTCCTTTACTTTGTGAGCACGCCTATCCAGACCAAAGGATAGATTAAAACTTTTTTTTTTTTTTTTGGGNAGATTAAAACTTTTTTTTTTTTTTTTGGTGGTCCTAATAACCACGTGCTGCATTTAGACTTTGTCCTCTCCACCAAGGTCCAAAGCGACTTATTCTCTAGTAGGTGATCCATCAATGGGAATATCCTGCACCCCATATCCCTTTAGTGGCATTAAGCGTGCATCATGCTTTTGGAAGTCCATAACTGAAACTTAGCTCGTGAAGATTCCAACTGACCTTGAAGCCATGTCCTCTATAGCTTCACTCTTAATGTTGGTGAATCTTATTTCTCGACCTCCAACTTAACCAAACTCACTTATGAAATTCATTTGCTTGAGGGGTGCATAACTCCTATAGTGGTTGCCCTTGTCTCTAAGAACTTTGTCTGGGTCTACTATGTGGTTTGCCCTGAGGCATGTTCTAAATTGTCTAGGCCTACAATGTGGTCATAAAGGAGGCATGCTTGACATCTAGAATTATGGTCATGGGAGGCTGAGCCATAGGTATCCATCTCTTACTAGACCTTAGAAGGTATGATATACATTTCTATAGGTTGGACGTCACGCACTTTGCGAAGCCGCCCCTTTGTCTTCCTAAGGCCAGTAAGTTATAACGTGAACCCTCTCGGCCTCCTCACAATAACTCAAATCTAACATCAACCGTAATCGAGTGAATGGATCTTCAGTCGTGACCAATCCCATTCTCCATCATTTTATGAATCAACCACTTTCTCACCCCTCAGATGCAAGGGAACATCGGGGACCTTTCAGCAATAGAAGTCTTACCAATTCCCAATCAACTTATCATACCAAAAGGAAGGATGTAGATGCACCATTTACAACAAGCTTGGAGCAGCCGTTCAAGAAGAAATGGGAAGAAAAAGTGGTGAAGGAGAGAAAATGAATCTTCAGTCTTTGTTTACTGTTCAATCTGGTTCAGGAAGTAGCTCAGGGAATACCGGGGAAAGAGAGAAGTTGTGAGACCCGGAGGGCGAAGGAGCGAAGCTGTGAAACCTTAAGGTGATTGAGCGAAGCTGCTTGGCTAGTTAACCCTGTTCAATCTGGTAATTAAGGTTCCGTAGCTCTCGTCTCAACCCCACTTCCTCTTTTTCTGACTGAATAGGGTTACTCGAAGAGGGAAATGTGGTAAGGCAAGTCAGTCTGCTAATGCCTCATCCTCAAATCAAAATGAATGAAACTCCATTCACTATTAAACACTCTAAAGCGTAATCATAGTTACCACCTTCCCAAGACAAACATCAAATTTTTACAGCCTTGCAACCACTCATATCCTACTAAACAGGGTTAGAATGCATACCTGGTCGCGGCGAGGCGTGTCGTCAAGCTGAGTCACAGAGGTGTACGACTCTCTATCCTAGAAAAAGTCTACAGAATCTAAAACCCGACTGCTCTAATACCAATCTGTCACGACCCGATTTTTTAGGCTTCGAAAACCGAATCGTGACTAAAAAGACAAAATCGAAAACAAACAAAAGGAAGATAAAAGAAAAGAAAAGCAAAGTAAAAAAGATAAAAATACTATTGAATTAAAACAAAGAGAAATTTTGTTTGTTAATTATTACAAAAGAAATTGCAAATATAAAATGAAATACAAAAGACTCTAAAAGACCGAAAAGGGACTGACGCTCCGGAACGATCCCCTCTGTGACTGTACAGCTTTCAAACGCTCCTCTACCTCGACTAGCAGCCAGCGAACACCTGAGAAAAATAAAGGAGAACGGGATGAGTATAAAAATTATACTTAGTAAGCCACCTACTTGTAGGCTCTCCTCGCATCTTAATTTAACAGCATTCCCACGGTTTCCTACTTCGGTTCTAAAACATCTGGTTCTAATCTTAGTCCCTTGGGACTTGCCCCTTGGGTTTCACCGGTTCGTCGTCCTTTCATTAAACGCCTAGAGGTTCCTTATGCCAAGCTGATATGGTCGGTATCTCTCTATGAGGCGCTACCTCTACATGGCTATCTAGGACTACATGGTATCTAGCCTAGGGGTGTGCTGAATACCCCTACGCCCATATAGTCCTCCTATGGGGGCGCGCGACCCAACCCGTTCCCATGCAGCTAATGGGCTGTACGACGTGGGGACACATTTCCCATGCGAAATGGCTAAGAGCAGCAAGGACTGATCAGGGACCCTTGGTCCTCCCATGAAGCTATAGATACC